AATCTTATTTTGTTAATAACAATTGCAATTTTTTACCTGCACCAAAATCCTTCAAAAATATTTTTCTAGAGGTGATTCCGAATCGAATGAGCTATCGCTCATATTTTTAGGACCTTTATCTCTATTTTTCGTGTTTTTGAACTTGTTGATTGGACTATTGGTGAGCTCTCTCTTCTTCTTGGGTGCAACCATTATTATTTCAGATTCATTAGAATTAAGCTTGAGCTTGGGCTGTAGAAATGTCAAAGATGGCTTGAAGATCCTTAATGATATAAGACGGGGCTTAGGTGGAATCACGAGGCGGAAAAGAGAAATATAACTGCGTGTTGTCGGCATAGTGATGTATATTGCATTTTTCAACGAACTGATAAAAATCGCAGAAGCAAGGGCCCAAGGATAAATCATTGTGGCACTACCTTTGATACCGAGGTTCGAAAATATTTCTAGCATGTGAGCATACATTTCGCCATTCGAATTTCCTTCTATGAGTAATGGACCTATAATTGTATCTCCCAATATTCCAGCACAAACTTTTTTGGGGAATGGCCTATACCCTTTTTTTAAATATTCGTGGGTTCTTGTCAGTCCAGAAACGATAGTTTTGTTTATTTGCGTCGTCACTTGACTAAAAAATGCTGTCATTCTTGCTGTCATAATTTCACAAAATTCAATTCTTCTGTCGGGTTCATCGTCACCAAGTTCTTGAAAAATTTGCGCTTCATATAGTTGAAATTTATGTAATTTAAATACTTTCCTTGCAGATTCGCGGGATAATCTGCTTCCTGTAGCTGCTTGACGAGACGATAAAAGTATGATTTATTGAAAACAGTCCGAGTACTTCAATTTGCGTTGCTTCGTCCAGTAATCTTGGTTGATCCCTTCTTTTATTGGTGACAGTTCCAGTTTCTTGAAATTTAGCTACCAGTTGGCGATTGTATAGGTGACTTACATTTCTCTCCGGGTGCTTCTGGATAAATACTTCAGTTGTTCTTAACAAACAGTGATCTCTGCTATAAATAAAAATCATTTCCACACATTCAGCTATGTTATACACCATTATTGCAGATAAAAATTCTATTTCTCGTGTACAACGTATCGAAATAAAAATCAAATGTATCAATAATAAGAGTATCGTTTCCCGTTTTGAAATAAAAAAATGCAATACAAAAATACCACTCAAAAACGGATATTTCAAATACCCCTTTTTTTACTATTACTTATCAACTAAGAAATTTTTTTTCAGATACAAATAAACAAAAATAAGAGTATGAACCTTAATGCTACGATAATAGAAAATAATATTTCAATTGAAATACATAGTGTTTTATTTATTAAACCAAAACTTACTACATCGAATGTAGCTTTGTAGGGGACACCATTAAAGACTATTTCTAGATGAGATATCACAAGTAGGGGGTTGCCATTCAAAATATAAAGTAGGGGGGCTGGAGGCGAGGGAGTAAGTGAAAACAAGTTAGCTATTACATCATTGTGTTTCCCTCTCCCTATTATGGAAGTTGTTTTCAGCGATTTCTTATATTTTATTTGGTTGCTCAGATAAAGCCATTGAAAGTTTTCAAATTGTCAGCCTGTACCTATATACAAACACGTACAATATTACATTGAACGACACTGTCATGGGTTGATTAATAAATTGTAAATTATTCAATAACAAGCTGTAAACATATTCATTATTTGATTGAAAGTGGAAACATAAAAACAAATGTAGGTAAGTTTTTCTTGGAATTGGAGAGGGAGTATACGATATTTACCCGGTGTATTCTTGTTAGACAAGTCTGTGGTGTAAGAATGAAGCAAAACGTCTCATATTATTAATTCATCTAAATTCATGTTGAGGAAGGTATATCCAAACTTTTTTCAAACCATTTTCAAGTATAATTTTGACAAACAAACATTTTGACAAACAAGTTGTTAAATATACAGTGATAAGGTCAATATGTGCTTTTGGTACCTACATATTTAAGGACGTGTTTGTCAAAATGCGTCAGTTTCACTTGATAATGGTTTAACAAACCGAAACCGGTCATAACAAATAAAAAACTTAGCAGAAATCAGACAAAAGTTATTTTCTTTATCCTATATTGAATATGAATTTCTGCAAAATGTAAAGGNATCTTTTCGAATAATGGTAGACATCTCAGGTTGGAGGTAGTCGAATAAAAGTGCATATTTATCAAAAATTGTTGCTCTACTTTCGAATCTTGAAATCATACAGGCCTGCCACACTAGGGCAGAAATCTAAGCCGAACAGATGCAGAAGGCTGTCATTCTTGGCTCACTGCGTTTGCTCAGGGCACATGATTCTCGGGCCCAATGATCACTTACCCCACACTCCCCCGTTGGTTGATAATGCTGGCGCGCCCTCTCGAATGTATTGGGGCTTTGGGGGATAGGGCCTGACCAGCGCATACTTCGGTAAAAAAAATAATAATAATAAAACTTAAGTACATGAATTCCATTTTTTCTGTTGAAATAGTTCAATTTGTAAGCAAATATTTATGAATACAAGGTACTCACCAATTGTACAGATCGTAGATGGTTAAATACCCAAAAGTACAGCAAGAAAAACTTCTGTTTGATACCAACAAAAGCTGAAAACCCATTTTTTCAATAGTTGTGGGGGGAAAATATGATTTTTTTACGGAAAAGCTGTTATTAGAATTTGCATCTATGAATTTATAGATTCCAATATGATCCTGTTGGTTTTCAAAATGAGTTTTTAATTAATATAAACTAACCGAAAAAAGACTAGGATGTCACAAAAAATAATTATTGAGAGAAAAAAATTGCCCAGCAAACACATCTGTGACAATGACATCTCGATATCACCTTGTTTACAATGCAATTTCACTGTGTTATATCAAAACGCGCTATACGAAATGCTGAGAAGTCTCTTTGTTACATAACACGATATGATTTGAATATTACGCTGAGATGTAACAATTGTGATACCAATTTGGGGAGATATTGAATATTCAATGTGAATCGCTCCTTTCGCACAAGCACCGTTCTTAGAGCACCCTAAGGATTTTCCTGTAGTGCTTGTGTTTTGTCCTTAAACAAGCATGATGAAAGTTCAAGCACGATTGGCTGAATGACTGAAAGTCCAAGCCAAACAAAAAAAAAAGAATTATGAAAGTCTTTTATTCGACTTGCATACAGTTTTCCATAATTCATATACCTAGACCTAGATATGTGATATTATTTTGAGCTCCCGTTTCTCACCGTTTTACTGTAGTTTATATCCAAGTAAAAATTTTGTTCTTTGGCAGAAAAATTGTGCCACAAGAGATGCATCCATCTGAGGATTCTGGTGAGCTGATTTTAACTATATCATTGAATAATATTGATCATCGTTCGACTTTGTCTGAGTAACTTGAGATTTATCAATAAAAACTCTGCCGTACAAAAACTCTGCTGTTCAAATACATCGAATATCTAGTACGGTCGGTGAGCACATTTTATATAGTCATAGCGAACCCCAAAACATGACCCAGACACCGGATAATATCAATCTCGGGGACGTATACAGGCTTCTCATGACTGTCAATGTCAAGTGCGATCAAACTCAGGAACAGCTCACAGAAATAAAAAAGGAATCAACTATAGCGAATGATAAGATTTCCAGACTAGAAGACAAAAACATGCAACTTCACCACAAAATAATACAACTTGATAACAAACTCAGAAGAAACAACATCATTGTCTTTGGTCTTCAATCTGATAACCTATCTCAGTCCTTTGTAAAACTCAGTAAACCTCTTGAGATCCCATTGAATCTTCAAGATATCAATAATATTTTCTTCATCCCCAATAAAAACAACAAAACCACCCTGAAAATTGAATTCTTATTCTACTGGAAAAAGGTGGAAATATTGAAGAACGCCTATAAACTCAAGGAGTTGAATATATTCATCGCTAACGACCTATCACCTGAGAACCAAGCGATCCATAAATCTCAACACTGCAAAAGGAAATGGACTGAAAGCAACTATCCGCCAAAATAAACTCGTTCTGAATGGTACCAAGTATACACTTGTTCAACTACAATCCGAGCAGATTTAAAATTTACTCACAACCTCAAAGACGTACTGCCTGACACTCAATTCCTCCAAAACAGTAGTAATGCTATTTGGTCAAACAGCAATGAGAAAATGATGTGAAATAAATATCGATATCGTTCTGGACGAGCATCAGTTGCCTTTGACAGAATTTACGAACAATATTTGTCTCATAATTGACCAATCCCTTAAGTTCAACTCTCGTGTCTCCGAAATTATGGAACGTGGCTATAGTAACTTGAAATCAATATACTCAAATAGGAAGTCATTGAATCAAAAATCTAAGAAAATATTATGCGATGCCCCAGTTCTCTCTCACGTCAACTATGCAGATATAGTATATGGCCCAGCGTTACGTTTATCTGATAAAAAGAGA